GGCCCGCCTGGCGCCGAGAGGGCGGTTGCTGCCGGGCGAGCTGGTCGGCCGGCATCAGAGAGCGCTTCTCCAGCTCCTTGAGCATCGTCTGCCCAGCCGCTTTCCGACTTGTGCGCTGGCATAGTCGCCGGCTGATAAGAACTTCTGCAGAGACGCCAGGTGGTCCATGAGCACCTCCACCTTGTTCTCGCAGCCCTCACTCGCAGCACAGGCGCACGCGAGCCCTTCTGCTTGAGCAAGAACGCCTGACCTTGCCCATCCTTTCGGGGGTCGCGCGCTCGCCGAGCAGCCTCCGCGATCTCACCGTCGGTCAGCGGTTTGCCGTCCGGGTCCATCGCCTCCTCGCCCACTTGCTCCTCAATCTCTGCCAGGATCGACTCACGTGTCTCCTTTGACCAATGCGATGGCAGGATGTCAGCGTCGTCCAGGGGAGGCATGTCAGCCGATGGAAGCCGATGGCCGTTCCCTTCGCTGCAGACATACACAACACACACACACATGTGTGTGCCGCAGATGCCGACATTGACGCTGTCTTTCACATACTCGATATATCGATGTGGTGGTTGATTCTGATGCTCAGTAGCAGGGACATCGGACCAGGGAGGTGAGGCCGCAAACGCTGGCAGACCTTGCTGAGACGATTGCCGTTCACCGAAGACATGGACGTCCCACGAAACACGTCCTGAGAGTGAGTGCCCATGATGAATCATGTGATGAAATGCATCTCGATTCATCACCCATCTTACCATCAGACTGATGATGGCCGAGACGAGGGAGCAACATAATCCTGGACACCACGTGTCGCGCGCCTCCATGCTCTGCATCGCAAGGATCAGGGCATCGTTGTATATGGGGAAGGTGGCGGTGCAGCAGTCGGCCGTCTGGCACTCGAGACGGCCGGCGGTCTCCAGGAAGCCTAGGTCGTGCAACAGCTGATAGAACCGGGTCTGCACTGAGTCCCCCATGGGCCTGTATTGATGGATGACATCACAAATGTGGGCCATGTGGCGTGTTTTGCATGGTCTGGCTTACGGAAGGGTGGTGGGCGGCGTCTCTCTGGCGATTGAGCTTGCCGACGTCGGGCCGACATGGTTGATCAGCCGCTGAACGACCGGTGCTGATCCCGTTTCCGCCCTGCCATCCTCTCTCACGTGGCCAATAGAGGTCAGTGGTGCAGTGCAGCACGCGGGAGACCCTCTCCAGCCCAATGGCAGGCCCGAGGGATTGGAGAACGCTGTGCTTCACGCGGTAGAAAGCGGGAAGGTCGAACAACGTGGAGAAGAAGCTCATCGCCGATAAGAGGGGGG